CACACAATACAGAATAGAAGTGTTCATAGAATAATGGCCATAAGGCATCATGAGTTACAATTAACCACACTTAATTGACATTTCTTCAAAGAAGATTTACAACCAGACAATAATTGCATGAAAAGATGTTCAACATCGTAAGTCATTACCAGTTACAAATTACTGTCAAGTCTACTCTGAGTCATGGTGACCCCATGTGTATCAGAGTAGAACAGTGCTCATAGGGTTTTCAATGGCTGATTTTTCAGAAGTAGATAGCCAGCCTTTCTTCCAAGGCACCTCTGGGTGGACTCAAACCTCCATTAACTGTTTGCACCACTCAGGGGCTACTAATAAATCATTAGGGAAAATGGAAATCAAGACCACAAGTGTTGGCGAGGATATGGAGAAATTAGAATCCTCGCGTATTGCACATGAAATGTAAAATGAGGCAGCTGCTGTGGAAAACAGTTAACAGTTTAGCAGTTTCTCAAAAAGTTATCCACAGAACTACCATGTGATCCAGCAATTCCATTCCTGGTTATATACCCAAAAGAATATATACTCAAAGAAATACTTGTACAGGAATGTGCATAGGCAGTGTTATTCACAATAGTCATAAGTTGGAAACAACTTAAATATCCACCAACAGATGAATGGATAAACAAGATGTGGTATATACATAAAATGGAATATCATTCAGCCATAAAAAGGAATGAAGTTCTGATACATGCTACAATGTGTATGAACCTCAAAGACATTATGCTAAGTGAAATAAGCCAGACACAAAAGGTCATACATTGTATGATTCCACCTATATGAAATATCCAAAATAGGAAAATCCATAGAGACAGAAAGCATATTGGTAGTTGCCAGGGGCTTGAGGGAAGGGAGAATAGGGAGTGACTTTTTAATGAGTACAGGATTTGATTTTGGGATAATGAATATATTTTGGAACTAGATATAGGTGCTGAATCTACCAAATGCCACTGAAATGCACACTTTAAAGTGGTTGCTGTGGGCTGGGACAAGCAGGGAGTTGAGAGCTAATCGCTTAATGAGTTGCTGTTTGGGGTAATGAAAAAATTTGGGAAATAAATACTGATAAACTGATGAAACACTTCTAGATTCCAAAGTAGCTTTCTAAATAATCAGAATCATTCTTTCTATAGAAAGATCAGAGGGCTTACCAGATACTATGCAAGAGTTTTAAGTATTTTGTTTCTACAGGGGAAAAAAATTATTTTCAGTATTGATCTCAGCTCATGTTGAATAATAAATTGAGCTGTTGAGTTTATATAAATTCATAATTAACAAAAAGAAACAGAAAAGTTAGCTACAGCATGGTCTTTGCCCTGCTATTAATAACAGTATATTATGATGCACCAATGTCTTGAATTTCATCCTTAAAAGTAGTTGACAAGAAATACGAAGAGAAAGAAAGAATACTGTGTAGATAAAACATATCAGCCATTCTGAAGATTTAGTTTTTGTTTTGCATCTCTTTTTATAACCACTTTTCCATATGAGATTTGTACTTTTAACGTAATCATTACTGGAAATATAAATTCCAGTCAAGTGTTTATTGAAAGTTAATTGAACTTTGCAACAGGTTTTATCCATCTCAGTATTGTAAATGGTGATTAGGTACCTAAGTCAGCACACAAAATCTTATTTAACCTATAATGTAC